TCACATTGGAAGAGGACCCGCGTGACAGTTTGTACACGGACATGAAACATTCATGTTTAGTAAGTGAAATAACGAACAGTTCCTTATAATGCTGTGGGGGCCAATAATATCAGCGCTATATCGAGTTCTGTCTGTTATCTGCGACCATAATCTCGTCCTGTCCATGGAAATTGGATTTCTCCATCGCCAGCGGCAACACGCTGAAATATGACAACGGGCTATATGTATAGATGATAGGAACATCGTGTTAAAGATTTGAATTGCTGGAAGTACTCATAAAACCCCCAATAAAAGGCCATATGAAGAGAACAGTTCCCCAGCGTGAACTTTGATAGTTTGATAGTTCTTGCAAAAATCAATTTCTCCCACACTGAAGCCCGCGTGATGTACACACAAATTTGCTGGTGCTGATATAAATACAAAATTGCCTGGTGGTGAGACTGGACATCGGTCATTGAGATTGTGTGTTACGCCAACTATAGAACGCTAATTACAAAATGACAGTGTCGGGAGCTGATCGTTATTGGTGCCTGTGGGAGGATTGTGGTCGGCACTGTGGAGGAGTTGATGAACACAAGCCAGCGTAGCCAGACAGGAAGGTGGGTGTTGCAGTGATTGTCTGAGCCTAACATAGAACTGTAACCTCCACTGATTAGAGCTGTAACCTCCACTGATTAGAGCTGTAACTTCCACTGTTTAGAACTGTAACCTCCACTGTTTAGAACTGTAACCATCAGCTTTATGGAACTGTAACTTCCACTGATTAGAGCTGTAACTTCCACTGTTTAGAACTGTAACCATCAAGTTTTAGGAACTGTAACCATCAGCTTTATGGAACTGTAACCTCCACTGATTAGAGCTGTAACTTCCACTGTTTAGAACTGTAACCATCAAGTTTTAGGAACTGTAACCATCAGCTTTATGGAACTGTAACCTCCACTGATTAGAGCTGTAACTTCCACTGTTTAGAACTGTAACCATCAAGTTTTAGGAACTGTAACCATCAGCTTTATGGAACTGTATCCTCCACTGATTAGAGCTGTAACTTCAAATGTTTGGAACTGTAACAATCAAGTTTTAGGAACTGTAACCATCCACTTTATGGAACTGTAACCTCCACTGATTAGAGCTGTAACCTCCACTGATTAGAACTGTAACCTCCACTGATTAGAACTGTAACCTCCACTGATTAGAGCTGTAACCTCCACTGATTAGAGCTGTAACTTCCACTGTTTAGAACTGTAACCATCAAGTTTTAGGAACTGTAACCATCCACTTTATGGAACTGTAACCTCCACTGATTAGAACTGTAACCTCCACTGATTAGAACTGTAACTCCACTGATTAGAGCTGTAACCTCCACTGATTAGAGCTGTAACTTCCACTGTTTAGAACTGTAACCTCCACTGTTTAGAACTGTAACCATCAGCTTTATGGAACTGAAACCTCCACTGATTAGAGCTGTAACTTCCACTGTTTAGAACTGTAACCATCAAGTTTTAGGAACTGTAACCATCAGCTTTATGGAACTGTAACCTCCACTGATTAGAGCTGTAACTTCCACTGTTTAGAACTGTAACCATCAAGTTTTAGGAACTGTAACCATCAGCTTTATGGAACTGTAACCTCCACTGATTAGAGCTGTAACTTCCACTGTTTAGAACTGTAACCATCAAGTTTTAGGAACTGTAACCATCCACTTTATGGAACTGTAACCTCCACTGATTACAGCTGTAACTTCCACTGTTTAGAACTGTAACCATCAAGTTTTAGGAACTGTAACCATACACTTTATAGAACTGTAACCATCCACTGATTAGAACTGTAATCATTCACTGATTAGAACTGTAACTTCCACTGTTTAGAACTGTAACCATCAAGTTTAAGGAACTGTAACCATCCACTTTATAGAACTGTAACCATCTATTGTATAGAACTGTAACCATATAGTTTAAGGAACTGTAACCATCAAGTTTAAGGAACTGTAACCATCAAGTTTAAAGAACTGTAACCATCAAATTTAAGGAACTGTAACCATCAAGTTTAAGGAACTGTAACCATCAAGTTTAAGGAACTGTAACCATCCACTTTATAGAACTGTAACCATCAAGTTTAAGGAACTGTAACCATCCACTTTATAGAACTGTAACCATCAAGTTTAAGGAACTGTAACCATCCACATTAATGTTCGCTGGACATGCAGAATGCCCTGAAAATAGTTATCCCCCCAAATAAACTTGTTTTCCTTCCAGAGAAAAAAACCCTGATGTCTTGAAGCAGTGGCCCAAAAAACAAAGATCTCTTACATGTATCAATACGCAAAATACTGTATGGCTCCTTGTGAAGATCAGTCTAGTTCACTCACAGCCAGCAGATCATTATATGCAAGACATATCAATGAAGGGGAGATAATGGTACATGCATGAACTGTTCCATTGTTTTCATACTTTGATATTCAAGAAACATAAATAGCCTACTCCTCTAAGTCAACTCAAATTTGCTGTAACCAGACTTGCTTCCCTTAGCCACACCAGGATCCACTGAGAGTGTGTTGGAATCCTTGATTGGCCCTGATAAGAATCCTTGAGGGATTTAGCAATATGGTGAACATATATATATGACCAGTATCACTTGTGTCTTTGTTCCGATAATTCTCTGACATGCTATGATTGACTGAAATACTCACTCACTCACTCTACCAAGTGTTTTTAATCCAGAAATATCTTTCATCAATCTATTCTAGGGTTGTTCTGGTGAAAAACACCTTTTTTATTGCCATTCCAACTCGTGTATACCAAAAGCCTGAATCTGCAGAGTCACGTCCATACTCCCCATCCATCTCTCCTCACCGTAATCAATGCTCTTGTCCAAACTGGCGAGGAGACCGGGCTATATTGAGTTGGCTGCAGTCGACGTACACGGGAAGGACACATATAACCCAATCAATGGCTGACCACTGCTGGCAATAATAAATGCCAGCAGTTGATCACACACACCTCCAGGTTAGATCCACATATATAATACATGATACTGTTGATGTTAGATCCACATAAGTCACTATATAATACATGATACTGTTGTGGAAGTAAGCATTTCTTGTACTATGTACCTTCATCTAGAGAAGTAGGCATGTCGATCCACATAAGTCACTATATAATACATGATATTGTTGTGGAAGTAAGCATTTGTAAGTGGTGTAAAACCATACTCACTCACTCACTCCTTTCCAGTGATGAGCTATCAGATGTGGGTCAGAAGGTAGTGGTGTTAGTTCAGAAAGCTGAATCATTTCTACAAACAGTATTGTCCACAACAATATTGTATCTTTAAAAGAAGGTAGTTTCTGACTTACTGAGTATATTTTGTATATTTCAGTGATAGTTTCAGAATATTATCATCTGCATCATGAATATTGTTTGGTCTTGGGAGCCCCTTCAGATTTCAGCACCACAACTTCTCGTGAAGTCTTTGGCAGGGTCACGAGTCTCATGAAGATGACCTCTGCTGGACGTCACAAATATCATGAAGACAATGTCTGTTGGAGGTCTCGAGTCTCGTGAAGATATTCTTTGTTGGAGTTCACAAGTCTCGGGAAGACAATCTCTGCCAGAGGTCACAAGTCTCATGAAGACAATCTCTGCCAGAGGTCATAAGTCTCATGAAGACAATCTGTGCCAGAGGTCACAAGTCTTATGAAGACAATCTCTGCTGGAGGTCACAAGTCTCATGAAGACAATCTCTGCTGGAGGTCACAAGTCTCATGAAGACAATCTCTGCCAGAGGTCACAAGTGTCATGGAGACAATCTCTGTCAGAGGTCACAAGTCTCATGAAGACAATCTCTGCTGGAGGTCACAAGTCTCATGAAGACAATCTCTGCTGGAGGTCACAAGTCTCATGAAGACAATCTCTGCCAGAGGTCACAAGTGTCATGGAGACAATCTCTGTCAGAGGTCACAAGTCTCATGAAGACAATCTCTGCTGGAGGTCACAAGTCTCATGAAGACAATCTCTGCCAGAGGTCACATGTCTCATGAAGACAATCTCTGCCAGAGGTCACGAGTCAGCGAGGCATGGAACCATTTGACATCACAGGGCAAATTACATCAAAGGTTATTGTGACATGTTTGTAAACTATATGGTTCTGAATTATAAAGGTAGACCAACATGTCAAGTCCGTTTTTTGTGTCTCCTCCAATAATGATGCAGTTCTACAAAAAGCACCCTCGAACTTAAACTCACTCTGTTTTATTGATTCTGTTTGAAAGCATTGGTGAACTGCCTGATCCCCCAGTGTGACTATGAGCTTACCAAGCTGCTTTCAGTACTTGGCAATCTGGTCGCTATACTTAACGAGTTATGTACCAGCTCCTGGCAGAGAGTAGACTGCAACTAACCATGACTGCATGGTTGTAGTCCTGCTGTAGTAGCAGACCTCACGATGGTTGGACCACTCTACTAAGACAAAATAAAATCACAGTTAATGGACGTCTCTGGTAATTGTAGAGAGAAGTTGAGTGAAAAAGAAAGAAATTGGATTAACCATCTGGTTCTAATCACATGAAACCTGCCTTAGGAATTTTATTGACTTCTCATCAATTTCATAAAAACGTTCATCTTTATTCTGTTTTAATGGATTTTTTTGTAAAAAAGTTGTTGAAAACTCTTGTGGCCCACCTGAACACTCTAATTTTGAAAGCCATGTAAATTGAACTCAGGCACTTTTTAGGCGGCAGAATTTAAATTGCATTTTTTTTTTTACGGCATGATCGTAAATTTGAACAAAGCGATTCATGTGTTCTAGGCTTATTTCAACATAGACATGTTTCCTTGACCTTTGGTCTCTATTTCAAGAAGTCTTATGTGATGAAGAAGTTAGCAAATCATTGTAGTGTCAGTGTATTGCAATATGAAGTGACTTATAATGTGTCACAATATGTATTGCAATAAAAATGATCACAGGTACATTGTCATGAACTATTTAGTAAACGTTCTACCACCATGGATCTGAGTTCTACAACCATAGATCTGAGTTCTACCAGCATCGATCCTAGTTCTGCCACCATGGATCTGAGTTCTACAACCATAGATCTGAGTTCTGCCACCATGGATCCCAGTTCTGCCACCATGGATCTGAGTTCTACAACCATAGATCTGAGTTCTGCCACCATGGATCTGAGTTCTACAACCATAGATCTGAGTTCTACCAGCATGGATCCCAGTTCTGCCACCATAGATCTGAGTTCTACCAGCATGGATCCCAGTTCTGCCACCATAGATCTGAGTTCTACCAGCATGGATCCCAGTTCTACAACCAGAGATCTGAGTTCTACCAGCATGGATCCCAGTTCTGCCACCATGGATCTGAGTTCTACAACCATGGATCCCAGTTCTGCCACCATGGATCTGAGTTCTGCCACCATGGATCCCAGTTCTGCCACCATAGATCTGAGTTCTACCAGCATGGATCCCAGTTCTGCCACCATGGATCTGAGTTCTACAACCATGGATCTGAGTTCTGCCACCATGGATCTGAGTTCTGCAACCATGGATCCCAGTTCTGCCACCATGGATCTGAGTTCTACAACCATAGATCCGAGTTCTGCCACCATGGATCTGAGTTCTACAACCATAGATCTGAGTTCTGCCACCATGGATCTGAGTTCTACAACCATAGATCTGAGTTCTACCAGCATGGATCCCAGTTCTGCCACCATGGATCTGAGTTCTACAACCATAGATCTGAGTTTTGCCACCATGGATCCCAGTTCTACCAGCATGGATCCCAGTTCTGCCACCATGGATCTGAGTTCTACAACCATAGATCTGAGTTCTACCAGCATGGATCCCAGTTCTGCCACCATGGATCTGAGTTCTACAACCATAGATCTGAGTTCTGCCACCATGGATCCCAGTTCTGCCACCATGGATCCCAGTTCTGCCACCATGGATCCCGGTTCTGCCCCTATGGATCCCAGTTCTATCACCATGGAACTCAACACCTGCTACATTTACATCACTTGAACTCAACACCTGGTACATTTACATCACTTGAACTCAACACCTGCTACATTTACATCACTTGAACTCAACACCTGCTACATTTACATCACTTGAACTCAACACCTGCTACATTTACATCACTTGAACTCAACACCTGCTACATTTACATCACTTGAACTCAACACCTGGTACATTTACATCACTTGAACTCAACACCTGCTACATTTACATAAAATAACACCTGGTACCCCATTGACATCACATGAAGGTGACATTATTATGTCAATGATGCCTTCAGTGATTTAGCCAACCTGACACAAACTGTCGACCCCCATAGATTAGAATTCAACAAATGAATATATAAGTTCAGCAATATATTGCAATATTTTTATTTGGTATCATAGTTATGGCTTTCATCGTCAATACACCTTCAAGAATCTTTTACAGTGAAAGGTAAGTGTTAAACTGTGAAATATTGTTTCTGGTAGATGTGTCTGGTTTTTCAATCAAGATCTCATTGGTGTGTGAGTGGAAAATGTTTGTCAGGTGTCATGCCAGTAATTAATTACCCCTTGACTGGTTATAGTGTAAACGTATTAATTCAGCCAATCAATCAGAGATATACCATTCACTGAACCATGACCTTCTCAAGGTCACTGATTAATAATTCATTCAACAAAGACCATCTGGGCTCCACCTTGACTGGACTCAATTGGACAGATAGTGTTTGTCTTCCCTTTGTCCATTACCCGAACCCTGTGTCTGTTGTCCTTTGTGTTGACCATGTCTGTGTGTTGTCCTTTGTGTTGACCATGTCTGTGTGTTGTCCTTTGTTTTGACCGTGTCTGTCTGTTGTCCTTTGTTTTGACCGTGTCTGTCTGTTGTCCTATGTTTTGACCCTGTGTCTGTCTGTTGTCCTTTGTTTTGACCCTGTGTCTGTCTGTTGTCCTTTGTTTTGACCCTGTGTCTGTCTGTTGTCCTTTGTTTTGACCCTGTGTCTGTCTATTGTCCTTTGTTTTGACCCTGTGTCTGTCTGTTGTCCTTTGTGTTGACCCTGTGTCTGTTGTCCTTTGTTTTGACCCTGTGTCTGTCTGTTGTCCTTTGTGTTGATCGTGTCTGTCTGTTGTCCTTTGTTTTGACCGTGTCTGTCTGTTATCCTTTGTTCTGACCCTGTCTGTGTCTGTTGTCCATAATGTTGGCTCCATGTGGCTGTCTGTTATTCATTGTGTTGACTACTTGTGGAGGAAATGGATGTTTTTTTTTCCCTTAGTCATGACCTCACCTTCATGACATCTAGCAGCAGTATGTATGTTGTTATAGATAGTCTAGCAAAAGGGTTGCAGCAAAACATGTGACCACTACAGGTCCAAGAGAGGATAGAAACGGTAGCTAGGAAACAACAAGACAGATTTCTGAATACCCAGTTATTTCACTGTTTGGGTAGGACGAGTGGTTTAGATGAAGAGTAATAGCACAAATCCTGTGGAATTAGGCTTCCAAAGTATTAAACGTCTGAAACCTGCATCACTCTGGGCTTTCCTCGCACTTTGAGCTGACACACCATGGTATGACTGAAATACTGTTCAAAGTGTTGAACCCAACTCGCTCGCTCGCTCGCTCGCTCGCTCGCTCACTCACTCACTCACTCACTCACTCACTCACTCCTAAGTATTAGGTTGTCATTACGTTGTAAGTGTTACATTGGGATGTCAAACATGTCTATATGTCATCTGTATCTGGTAGCCTTGACCAAGTGACAGTTTTCTGTCATAGTACATGAGTACATTTGTATATTCAGCATTGAGACCTATCTACTGCTAGAAGGGGTGGCCCAGTCGTCTAAGGCGCCGCGACTCGCTGTGCAGGGTTGTGTCCCTTGGACACGCCAGAAACCTATGATTGTGGGTCCGAATCCCAGTTCGCCCCAATTATGTTTCTAGGTTTGTCAGCACCATACCCTTGCTCGTTTGTTTCGTCTGAAGGGCCACTTAGAAGTCAGAAGATAAAATACATTATTTTTTTTCTGGATAACAAAAAGTGTCATGCATTCAAGGCCAGATCAGTTTAGTTTCTGGATTTAATCATATTCTTTGTCAGTTTGCCAAGAGGAAGGAAGCAAAAAAGCAAAAAACAGGTCGTCAGATATAATTTAAAATGAAACAGAAAAATGTCTGATAAAGAATAATGTCATTCAAACACACAATTTAATAAATAGGATATCGCTTTACAAATATAATAGGCTTGACAATAGCAGGACAATATGTTGGTCTGTACAAACTGTATAATACATATGTGATTCATAATCTTGTTTTTAATTATCAAAATAGAAGTAAATTTCGAATATTGCAGGTAATTCTGTCATGTTAACGAGAAACATACAGGTGGTTTATTTTCAAATTGCTCATGAAATTATTATTTCTTGTATATTCATTGTATCAGATTTGACGTGGCCATTACACCCAGAGGCAATATTAGGTTTTTCATTTACCCTGTCAACGTTTGTATGTCCGTAGTCTGTTGTACCCACGTCACAATACCTACCAGGTGAGAGCTTGTTTTCATCAGTGTCCTATTCAATCTATTTGTACTACCTTTCATATCCCTCGAGTGTAATTTGAGTCCTACAACGGAAATATTGCTGCCTGTGATTTCGTACATCATTAGGACGATCGATCTACCATTACTGGAAAATTCCATGATAATATTTCAAGAATTCAACACGCGCACGCTGAATCTGGATATTATGGTGAAAAAATCTACGTGGGCTGGGAATTGTATTTCTGGATGAGTGGTTGTCATGGTAACTAATCAGTGCAGTGACATTCATACTATCATGGCTGCTTGATTTTAAATAAGAAATTGTCAACACAAAAACGTAACTGTTTGAAGACTTTAGGGGTCTTGTGAAATTGATTACCTGTCAAGGGATGTAAGTCTCCCAAACGACAATTAGATTTATGTGGCTTAAAGAAAACCACATGCTGGCCATGAAAGCATTCATTGATTCCTCAAGGCCGGTATTCCGAGTCAAGTATACTTAAAATGCCTGCTCATTTTTTTCCTGCTTCCCTTGATGAAATGACCCGTGAAGATCTGGGGTAGAATAGGTCTTCAGCAACCCATGCTTGCCTTAAAAGGCGACTATGCTTGTCGTAAGAGGCGACTAACAGGATCGGGTAGTCAGACTCGCTGACTTGGTTGAAACATGTCATCGATCCAAATTGCATGGATCGATGCTCATGAGGTCAATCACTGGATTGTCTGGTCCAGACTTGATTATTTACACACTGCCGTCATATAGCTGGAATATTGCTGTGTGTGGCGTTAAACAACAAACAAACCAAACCAAACCCTTGATGAAAGACCAGGGTCAGCCATCGTGTTACAGCGGTGGCATGGGGCACATGGGCCACATATTATGTTCTCAAGGTGACCTAATGATATGTGTTCTGATCCAGGATGTAAGACCAGGTTCAGCCATCGTGTTACAGCGGTGGCATGGGGCACATGGGCCACATATTATGTTCTCAAGGTGACCTGATGATATGTGTTCTGATCCAGGAGGGGCGGTCGGGTAGCCTAGTGGTTAAAGCGTTCGCTCGTCACGCCGAAGACCCGGGTTCGATTCCCGACATGGGTACAATGTGTGAAGCCCATTTCTGGTGTCCCCCGCCGTGATATTGCTGAAATATTGCTTAAAGCGGCGTAAAACCAGACTCACTCACTCACTCTGATCCAGGATGTAAGACAAGGGTCGGCCATCGTGTTACATAGTCCAGCGGTGGCATGGGGCACATGGGCCACATGTGGGATACTGTCTAGACACTGGGATGCATTCTAGGCACTATGGGGTACTGTCTAGACACTATGGGATACTGTCTAGGCACTATGGGATACTGTCTATATGTAGCAGGGCATGGAGTCATCCCACAGATGACATCCTTACCTTGTCATCTTGCTGACGGGGTTAACCTCTTTGGTCATGTGGACAAGGCATCCGACCTCGGATCAGAAGGTCTGTGGTTCGAATCCAATCACAGGACTCGGAAATTTTATGGCCGCTACATATACAATATGGAATGCTGCCTAGGCACTATGGGATACTGTCTTGGCACTATGGGATACTGTCTAGGCACTATGGGATACTGTCTTGGCACTATGGGATACTGTCTAAGCACTATGGGATACTGTCTAGACACTATGGGATACTGTCTAGGCACTATGGGATACTGTCTTGGCACTATGGGATACTGTCTAGGCACTATGGGATACTGTCTAGGCACTATGGGATACTGTCTAGACACTATGGGATACTGTCTAGGCACTATGGGATACTGTCTAGGCACTATGGGATACTGTCTTGGCACTATGGGATACTGTCTAGGCACTATGGGATACTGTCTAGACACTATGGGATACTGTCTAGACACTATGGGATACTGTCTAGGCACTATGGGATACTGTCTAGGCACTATGGGATGCATTCTAGACACTGGCATACTGTTGATACACTGTCTAGACACTATGGGATACCGTTTAGACACAATAGGATACTGTCTAGGATATATGGGATACTGTCTAGACGCTATGGGATACTGTCTTGACACAACGGGATGCTGTCTAGGGACTATGGGATACTGTCTAGGCACGATGGGATACAGTCTAGGCACTATGGGATACTCTCAAGGCACTATGGGATACTGTCTAGACACTATGAGATACTGTCTAGATACATGGGTTACTGTCTAGACACTATTGGATACTGCCCAGGCACTATTGGATACTTTCTAGACACTATGGGATAATGTCTAGGCACTATAGGATACTGTCTAGAAACTATGGGATACTATCTAGACACTATGGCATACTGTTGATACACTGTCTAGACACTATGGGATACTGTCTAGACACAATAGGATACTGTCTAGGAACTATGTGATACTGTCAAGACGCTATGGGATACTGTCTTGACACAATGGGATACTCTCTAGGCACTATGGGATACTGTCTAGACACTATGG